TCATGCTAATTGAATACATTCTGTGTGGCAGTGTGCCAACTCCACCCCCCACATGGGTAGTAGATTTGAAATGAACAGTCAAAAAGCTCTCAGATGCTCCAAAAATGCTTCATTCATTTCTCTAGAATTGAATACAAATTAATCCGTAGGTCCCTACATCCGCTAATTGAGGAAAAACATAAATTTGCCCAATCAAAGTAATTTCAGACGCTTCTGACTTTAAAAGAGGCAAAGTCAGAATTCAATCTCAGTGAGTGCAAATTTTCAACCTCCCCCTTGGTCTCGTCTTTAGCCAGTAGTGGCGTAACATTAAGGTGGACCCAACCCCATGCCTGCCTGTGGTGCTCAAAGTCTCCCACTAGGAAAGTACAGTTTCTTTCATCCCGTCTTCAGTCTCTCAGGTTATCCATTACAGACTTTAACTTTCCTTTTGCAAACTTAAAGATAAGCAATACTTTTTAATTCTACACTGAATCCTCCATCTCTATATTGATTCTAATGGTGGGAAGCCCAGGACAAGGAGGTTAATCCCAGGATACACCAAGAATAAAGAACATCTCTGTTAATATTGCACAAGAATTCTTCCATTACTCATACTTATCCTCCTTAGACTTGCCCAAGGTTAAGTGGCTAGTGAGTGAAAAGTCTGGAATGTTCTGCAGGTGGCACTGACTACAGAGCCTGAGCAATTGCTTCCCTATTATACTGTCACTCAGAGGAACAACAAAAGTGTCGTCCACTATTAACCCCTCAATTTTCATGTCATTAAGTTCAATGATAAGTTAAGTTCAATGATCTAACAAAAGCCTAGGACACAGAAAATCAAAGAAAAGAGGAGGAGAGAAATATGCTACCATGTGTTACTCTGAAAGAGAGACCATAGGAAGATGGGAGAATGGGACATCATGGAAACCTTCCTGCCCAGGTGAGGTGCTCTTCAGGAACAGTATCCATATGGGGAGACAGATCTCTAGGAGTCTCTCACATCTCTGCCCTAGTGGGCAAAGCCTTTGTCCTAGACAAAGTCTTTTCAAGAACGTTTATAACAAACAGCCTTGAAGGATAGAGACAGTGCCTCCCTCTAGAGAAGACAGGCTTGTTTATTGTCAAATATAATAAAGATAATGTCTTCCTCCAGGACAAAAGTTGGGGAAGTTCGCTTGCAATGCATCAAAAAAGAATAGGGTTTCTTAAGCTTGAGGTTTCTTTAGCAGCCACACGAACTCGTTGCACGTGCAGCGTCTACCTGGACCGCTCCACTTCCCCTGTGACTTTGGGAGCAAGGAGAGCAGACATGAAGGTGAAGCTTGTGCTGTGGTTTGTGCTGTGAGTGGTCAAGTCCTTTGTCTCTGATCCGGGAATCTCATGTCCTCTGCCAGCAGCCGTGAAACTGACAGGTTACCTTGTGAGCTTGCAAATAGGATGACATCTCCATCTTCACAGTTCCTGATACACATAAAATCCTGTTCTTGGCGGGAGTGTGTAGGAAGGGATAGACTGGGGGGGGGGGGTCAAGATTTGCAGATACTGACTGGTATATCTAAAATAAATAAGTTTATACTGTATAACACAGGGAACTATACTTGATGTCTTGCAGTAGCTCACAGTGAAAAAGAATATGAAGATGAATATATGTATATTCATGTATGACTGAAGCATGGTGCTGTACACCAGAAATTGACACAACATTGTAAACTGACTTTACCTCAATATAAATAATAATAAAAATCTTGTTCTTGCTTTAATGTAGCACATGCTACAGTTGACCCCTGAACAACTTCAGGGTTAATCCATGTATGACTTATAGTCAGCCCTCTGCACCTGTGGGTTCAACAAACCACGGACAAGGTAGTACTGAAGTGTTCACTATTGAAAAATACTCCCATGTAAGTGGACCTACATGGTTTAAACCCATGTTGTTCAAGGGTCACCTGTAAAAATCCTATTCTGTTTTGTCCTATTAATAGCTCCCACAGGTCATGAACTGTTTGAGAACAGACAGCTTAAGCTAAGTTGTGTTGTGGTAATGAACAACCTCAACTCCTAGTGACTTTAAACATTGGAATACTGATAAATATTTAACAACAAGCTCTTCCAGAAATCAAAGTCTTTACTTGTAGTATTTGTTGATTTTCATAATGTAAATACTCCCACCTTGGGCAATGTTAAGCTACTAATGTGTATCACCCAGTGCAGAATTGGGAAGAGATGAGTCCAGTCATTTCCAACAAGCCAGTGCAAGCCAACTCCAGCACACCACCAGCTTTACAGCAACTGCTTCTTTCTTGTTCACTGTACAAGTTCTTTGTGGTTCAGCTTCAACCCTGCCTAAGGTCATCTTCATTCCAGGATACAGGTTGAAAGAGCTGCCCTTGTCTGCAACAGACCAATTTGTTTGTTTGTTTATTTGTTTTTTAGATTCTCAACAGACCAGTTTGTGGTGGAGGATGGGTGTCTATCTTAACAGGAGGAGTGTGTTTCCCAACCCACTGACCTCACACTTGCTCAGGTGATCTGCTTTGGCCAGTGAAATGTACATAGCAGTGACTCACATCAAGTCTGAACAGAACCATTAAGAGTTATCCTGTGGTTCTTCCTGTCAAGATAGACCCAGTAAGGCGGGGCGGCAACTATTTTGACACTGATACAATTTACAATAAAGCGGATCATGTCTTATTTCTCCCTGACTCCACACCACCCAAGACAATGCTTTGCACGTAGTGCTAGGTTAATGGTAAGACTTTAGCCAGTCTCATTGGTAGCATTAGAAGGGTAAGCTTAAATGTTTGCTATAAGATCAGCTAATATTGTGATTTGAACTTTGTTTTCCTTTCCCCCAGCCGTTTCCCAGAGGCTTACACAGACCTCTCTGTGGAATGTAGTATATTTGGTAGTTAAGACGGTTAATGTCTTAGACTCCATATTCACAAAAATTTCTGGAACCCACACTTTGGGTCAGGCATTGTCTTACTCCTGTAAAGAGACAGCAATATGAAGAAAGCAGAGTTTTGCTCTTATTGAACTTAAAATCTATCAGGACACCTAGAACGAACAAACAAACAGACATCTAATATGCCATTCCACGGAAAGTTCTATGAAGAAAAATAAGAAATATCTAACTAACATTCATGAATCCATTTTTATGAACATTTATGAACTCACAGCAAGAGTACAAAGGAGGCTCACCTGTGTTGTTTCTGTTTTAATTGGTTCTTAAATCTTCATTTGGCAAAGAATTCGAAATTGCACAGAAATCACAACACGCATTACGCTGTGGATTTGAAGAGAATACTTTTCCTGCTTGTTTTTACTGTTTTGATCACTAATTAATTCTTCATTAAATAAAGAGTATGATAATGTGTTCTCATGAATTTTATGTGAGTTGTGCTTGACTCTCATTGTTTCCAGTCTTTAAAATTTTAAGCGGTCTGTTTTTTTGGAGATTTTCTATTTCATTTTTCTTTCCAGGCTTTTTTGTTGTTGTTATTTGGAGGGCTCTATTTTGTATTTTTAAATTTCCATGATGTTTTTAGCTTGTCCTTCTGAAGGATCGAAAGAATAATACATGTATATGTGTATGTATATGTATACACATTTATATGAAATTGTATTCAGTGTGTTCATAATTTGAATATCTATTTTATCCCCAAATATAACCAATAAAAAATTAAAACTTTTGTTCATGTTTTCAAAAGTGCTTTATTTTTTCTATAATGTTTAGAATTGTCTATTAAAATTAAAGGGCAAAATTCAACTTGTGATTAATGGACCACAAAAAAGTTTAATTAATATTGTCTAAATAAAGTCAACATTTGAAATGTATTTTTCAAAATTTTAATTAAATCCTACTAACTTTTTATCAAAGAAAGAAAATTATTTGCAGCTTTACATTTTATGCCTAATTGCCAATGTAAAGAACTGGTATAAATCTTCACATGTTATGTTAGATCTACTTACATACAAATTTGAGAGTACATATAAGTTGTTTAACATTGTACCGCCTGCAATGATTGTTCCGCAACAATTTTTCTGAACCATGAATCAGAACAGAAAAAGATGCAAGGTGCAACTGGCAAATAGTACTTCATTATACAAGAATTTTTGGTATTCATGCTATCTGAAAGGATTTGAGAAGTTAATTAATTTGCTTTTTCTCTTAAGGTCTTCCACTGCCTTTGGAAGTCATGTCACTCTCAGACGTTGGTAACAGCACAATCCACAAATATTTACAGCATTTTAAAGACATGGGCAAACAATTTCCCTGCAGCCTGAACAGTGTTAGTCATAAAAGTGGTTGCTTGGGATAGGGCTGTTCTGTGCCAGAAGTGCACCGAGAAATGGCTCCTGCGTGACAAAGTTACCCGTGTGTCCTCGAATAAATCTATTTTTGTGCGTTTTTGTAATACGTGGGCATCTCTAAAGCCTGGAACCATGTAGTGCCTTGTAGGCTATAGTAAAGAGTTCAGATTTTATTTTGGGTGGAAAATCTTTGGAGAGTTTTGAGCAGGGAAGTGACCTGGTTTTACATCAATTTTAAAATTATTTTTCTGAATGCAATGTGAAGCATTGTAGGAGAGCAAAAAATAGAAACAGGGAGACCAGTTTGAAGGTTACTGTGATGGTCCAGTCAGAAATGACGATGGTTTAGACAACAGGGATGAAGGTGGTAAAAGGGGTCCAATTCTGGAAATATTTTGAAGGCAAAGTCCAAAGGGTTTGTTGACTCGTTTGTTGACCTCCACATTTCTAGGATTAATTTTGTTCACTTTGAAAGGTAGCCCTCTTTAGAAGTGGATTTCTGTGAAGATTAAACGTGGTCATCTACGTGCAGTAATTCTCAGGACGCCTGGTATATAATAAGCATATAATAAATACCAGTCATTGAATTACTTTTAAGATATTATCTGATAAAATTATTTTTCCCAAACATGCTCTTTCATGCCTCTAAATTTTTGCACATTTATATTTCTATAATTAGGAACCCATTTAATCCTTTTTTATGCCTGTCAAAATCTTCCTATGTATCAAGGTTTTGAAGACCAAAAAACTTTTCAGTTTCATAAGAATAAAGATAAAATACTGAAAATGGTAGGGGATGGGTTGACACTTGGGGGGGCAGAAGATCTTGCTCGTCACAAGCACAGTACTACTGAGTACTACTGAGTACTACTGAGTACTGAGTACTACACAATAGTATTTCGTTAGCAATTCATTAAGGATTTTTAAAAAAATTTCATCTGTATGCATGAATAGACCCATAAAAATAAAAACTAATTTTGTCAAGAGACTAGTAATCATTTTTGCCTAACTGCTTCAGGAAGCTTCTCATCTGTCTGATGGGAAAATATTTTGCCCTGAACTACAGAGACCTCATATTGAATAGGATTTATATATGATACACACCAATACACTGGAAAATTAGACCTAGACTACATTATCATTATATGTTTTACAATTAGTTGGCTTGTAAATAATTCTCCATATTGAAATCCTGAATATATTCTTCCAATATTATAGAGCTAAAGTCGTCTTTTCAAACAGAGGACAAATTATAAAGCTCATTAAATTCTAAAACTGGGTCCTCAGTTTTAACAGTTCTATCATTAATTATTCAGTTCGAAGGGGACTGCAAAGTGAAGTTAGTTTATCAAAGCAATTAAACTGATATGAGCCTCAGAACAGTCACCACAATAGTCATTACTGACATCGCCAGAGCTGAAGAAGAGGGAACTTTTTAATCTTTGTGAAAAATTCAAAGCAGCTGGCCCTTTTGGATAACAGTTCAATTCTGTTTTGTAAGGAAAATACATGAGTCAGAAAGGCACTCAGTCCCCAGGCAGAAACATCAGAAAGAATGACCCACGTCATTGAGGGTATAACTCTATCAGCCCATAAGACAGACAGCATCTAAGAGAAGGAAAAAATACATTTGAAAAGAGTTACCCAGTATGTATGGTTGAATCTGTTTTTAAATGATAGCAAGAAATTCTTCTCTGGTAATGAAGAATATTGACTTCAATGTCCCATTGCACTTAGCTGCATTAAATGCCCCTCCTTAAACATACACAATACCTCGGACCTAACTAACCCCATTAATGCACAATTACTGTTTCATTTTGACTTTTATCTATTTCTTCCACTAGATTGCGAACCACTTACTAAAATAAGGAACACTAAGAAGGGCCCTAGTAGGGACGTGAGTGGTTCAGTTCTGATCGTGTTAAGTTTGGGACGCCTGTGAGGTAACAGCCCATCTTCCCAAATAGAGCTTCCCAGCCTGGAACACGTGTATGTTCCTTGATTGCCCAACTCCGATCATTTTGTGTAGAAGGTGTTCAGTAAATATCTGTTGATCGACTTGGCCGCTAATGAAAATTTCATTACTGGAATTTTAGCACTGATTATTTCATTCCATCCCTTAACAAAATTCACTCTAACTTGCGGCTTTGAAAGAAAGAGATTGTGTGTAAAGTCACCATATCCTCTTAGAAACTCCAGGCTTGCTTTTGTTAATAGAATGCTGTTTTCATTTTGATTACACTCTCTAAAGAAATGCGTATTTCCAGAGAGGCAGTGTTTGCGCTAATAACTGTTGCCCCACTACATGTCGAGAAGAGCTGGGCCAAGTTTGGACTCATTCGAACAATCTTTTAAGAATGGAAAAGGAAGTCGGGAGGAAGGGAGGCTGACTCAGCCGGAGGCTCTTTGTTAAAGTAAACACGTGCTGTACACTTACTGAGCCACGTGGCTGCTGTTCAGAAAGCAAAGAACATGGAGAAATTTCAGTTGTTTCCTGAAAATACGCTCATTGACACTCCCCTGAGAGGTTCGATTACGTGTGAGAACTGAGACGTTTGTTTATGGGGAAGAAAGAGGCAAAGTTGGGGGCTGATTGGGGGAGGAGGCTGGAGAGTCATCTCAGAAGCAGGCTGAAAAGGAGAAAACATCTGTGGCTCAAGGCTTGTCTAATGGCAACAAGTAGATACATATTCTTCTTACCAGAAGAGCATGGTCACATTTTTTTTCCTCTTAGAAAATTTGCTAAATCAGTTGACAACAGAATTTGGGTGTGGATGGGCCGGGAGCTCAGTTCAGTTGTTAACACCCAGTCAGGTTTTCTAAGTATATTTAAAAATGCAGACATTTCATTTCAGTCAAGGTCTGTCAGGGGACTCACCAGGACTTGGAATGTTGTCCAGGCCCTTGGCCCTTGACCATGTCATCAAGTTCATGGACTTATTTATTTATTCAATAAATATTGACTGAGAACCTACTAACAGCCAAACATTGTTCTAGGTGTTAAGAACACAACAATGGAAAAAAAAAGATTAATGTTTCTGTTCTAAAGGAATTTACATCTTACTGCAGGGAGATAGAAGGTAAGCAAGTAATCAAATAAATAAGATTTCCAGATGGAGATAAGTACTATAAAGAAACGAAATGAAGGTTATGCGATAGAGCGTGACCTTGATATTCAGTAGAATGAAATATTCTCCGAGGTGCCAGGCTGGCATGGCACCACTGGGGTGTGACCCATCAGAGCCCCTGTGGAGGTCATGGACTTCTCAAAATCCAAGTCTGTGCAGAAGACGACACACTCATCCCTCTTGGGCAATGGCCCTGAAGCCCCTGGACTGGTCCTAGACTCCCTTTGGCTACAGAAGGCTCTACAGTCCAGAGGCAGGAATGCTGTTCAGTGGCTCTGAGCAACTCTGAAACCACAGGCCTCTTTCAGTAAATGCTGTCGACTGAAATAACCACCCACTCCAAGCATGCCCTGGCTGATGGCCTCTTTCTTTTTTCTTGAATGTCATCGGTATCAGATTCCATTTAACCTCGCGCCTCGCCCCCTTTCTCGACCACCGCACCTGGACTGCCCTGCTTGCTTTCTCTCCACCAAAACAAGCTTGCCTAATCCTCTCGAGAGGATACAACACTAGTTGCAGCTTGGATGGAACATGCTGCTGACATGCCCACAATGACGACTCCTTGGCAGAATCTGGCCTTTGTTTTCCCTGTGCCAGCAGCAGGACTTCTGCCAACTGGCCTATTTTTACAAACACTCCAGCCACGCCTTTTAAATCTTACACTATCTAGACCATCTTGCCAGCTGCGGTTAAGATGTTATGCTTTGACCACTTGGTAGTAAAGGGTCCTGAATAAGATATCTAAACTCTCAGACTGCTAGCTGGCAGAGAAAAACTCTACCCATCGGTACCGAACATGTCAACTGTCTGAGGGGTATACCCTTGGGCACAGATGTTCAGACTAAGTGACAGAAGAGTTTGACTCAGTAAGCAATAGTGGCTACTGGAGCTGGAACATCAGATCCATGCCAAAATGGCTCCGGAGCAAGGGAGGGGCTCATGTTGAACTGATCTTACTCGGTGGGGAGGGTATAGCTCTGTGGCAGAGCACATGGGTTCAATCCCCAGCACCTCCTCTAAAAATAAATAAACCTGATTACCTCCCCCCACCACAATGAAATAATTAAATAATACAATAAAAAGACAACTGAAGTTACTCAGAAACAGAAACTAAGAGCCTCATGAAAGGAAACTGGCTGCATTAAGGAGAATAAAGACAAAGAGAGAGAGAAGCAGATATAGCTCAGTGGTAGAGTGCTTGCCAAGCATGCACAAGGTCCTGGGTTCAATCCCCAATACTTCCATTATTGAAAAACAAAAAAATTTAAAGCAAACCTAATTACCCCAAAAAATCAGAAAAAAGGAAAATAAAAATGCAGCAAAGAGAAATGGTGCTGGAAAAAGGAGAGAGAGTAGCTTGTCTGAAGGTTTCCTCCCAGCAGTTAGGAAGCCTAGTGGTGCTAGCCGCAGTTGGACTGTGTGAAATTCCCATGGTGACTTCAAATAAACTCCCTCTCCACCTGGTCCACTGGAAAATCTTTCTCAGCCCCCCATGTGAATAACTTTGTAGTGGGAATGTACATAACTATTCAAGGCAGCTCCTACTTTTTGGTAGAGCAATCTGGCCCCTGGCCGAGTAAATCCTGGGTAGGAATTCCCATGCCACCTTTGCTGCCTCTACCTGGCCATAGGTATCCGTCTTAGACCACTGGCATTTTGGTACTGATGGGTAGTTTATCTCTGCCAACTAGCAGAGCTAAGTTTAGATATCTTATCCCAAGACCTTTACTACCAAGTGCTCAAAGCATAGCAACTTATCATCAGAATCTCAGAAAAAGAGTCTGATGGGCTCAACTGAGCTATGGGTTGTTGTGATCTGGATTATGTCTAGTCAGTTGTGACAAGCCCCTGGGGCTGAGGATCTTAATATTCTGTCTGTAAGCTTGGTCGCCATGGGTATGGTCAGGGGAAAGATCTACTTAGATGAAGGGCAGGGTGAAAGGCAATGATTAGCATACAGGACCAGCGAAGCTGTAAACTCAAGTCACCACTCGCAACTACCTATGAGGCCACACTTTCTAGGACACAGAAATAAAGAATCTGGTGCCTCCAACTTGCATGAACATTTGAATTGCCCAGTGTTGGTACAGAATGTAGTTCTAAATCTGTGCCCTTTCCAAAGGCAAATCAGACTGTAGATATGGTGAAGAGAGACATTTTGTAAATCTTGATCTAATAGAATTTGTCTAGCTAAGCAAGAACTTGTGAAGCAGTGGCAAATAAGAATGTGAAGAAAAAATAGTTTATGAGGGGCTAGAAAATTCTTCTCTCTAGAATGTTTTTCCTTCTACCATCTTCTTGGCAAAGCCTTACTGATTCTTTAAGAACTAGATCAATCACCATTTCTTCGAGGAAGCCTTTTCTAAGATGGTCCACTTCCCTCTTTCAGGCAAAGATTATCAGTCTCTTCTCTGATCAACACTGCGACATGCACCTTGTTTCAACCTTGGTCACAGCAGTTCTCACGCTTGGATGCGCTGCTTTGCGACACTGTGTCTGCAATGTGACTTTAAGTCCCCTGAGGGCAGAAACAGTGTCTGGCTTGACTGTATACTCCTGGCATCCATCTCAGTGCCTGAAACAGAGTTGGTGGTCAAGGAGTGTTGCCTGAATGAGAGAGAGTAAAGGAAAGTATGTTATTGATCTGGCATAAATGTACAATGAGGAATGTTCCAGATAAGTGAAATTTATACCTTCAGCGATCGAAACTTCTAAAATGTTTTATGAAGACAAATCTTTTTTTTTTTAAATTGAAGTATAGTCAGTTACAATGTGTCAATTTCTGGTGTACTGTATAATGTTTTAGTCATACACATGTATAATTGTTTTTATATTCTTTTTCATTATAGATTACTACAAGATATTGAATAGCTCCCTGTGCTATACAGAAGAAAAAAATTTTAAACTATTTTATAAATAGTAGTTAGTATTTATACATCTGGAACTCCCAATTTATCCCTTCCCACCTCCTTTCCCCCTGGTAACCGTAAGTTTGTTTATTATGTCTGTCAGTCTGTTTCTGAACAAGCTCATTAGTTTCTTTTTCTTTTCTTGTCTTTTTTTTTATAATCCACATATGAGTGAAATCATGTGGTACTTTTCCTTCTCTTTGTGGCTTACTTCTACTTAAAATGACGATCACCAGTTCCATCCATGTTGCTGCTAATGGCATTGTTTTAATCTTTTTCATGGCTGAGTAGTATTCCAGTGTGTGTGCACGTGCACGTGTGTGTGTGTATACCTCAACTTCTTTATCCAGTCATCTGTAGATGCACATTTAGGTTGTTTCTACGCCTTGGCTATTGTAAATAATACTGCTGTGAACATCGGGTTATGTGTATCTTTTCACATTGGAGTTCCCTCCAGATACACCCAGGAGTGGGACTGCTGGATCACATGGTAAGTCTATTTTTAGCTTTTTGAGGACTCTCCATACTATTTTCCATAATGACTGCACCAAACTACATTCCCACCAACAGTGTAGGAGGGTTCCCTTTTCCTCACATCATCTCCAGCATTTATAGTTTGTGGACTTTTGAGTGATGGCCATTCTGACTGGTATGAGTTAATATCTCATTGTAGTTCTGATTTGGATTTCTCTGATAATTAGTGACACTGAGCATTTTTTCATGTGCCTAGTGGCTGTTTGTATGTTGAAGACAGATTGTCTTACAGATTTTTCTGCTTCATTAAACAAGATAAATACTTTCCAATTTATTCAAATTCCTTTTTATGAATTAATTATACTGTTCTCTAATATGGTCTCAAGAAAGCTTAGTTCAGGCTCCACCTCCACCAGGAAGCCTTCTCCAACCCTATCCCATCAGACATCACTAGGTACTGTCTTACATGATTCATAGAACCCCTTGTATTCTGCTTACAATGTGTTATGGAAATTACCTGCCTAGTCACATGATTCCACTGCTTCATATGGTCACACTCTGTTTTCCCCATTAGACAGAGGATGGCTCTGGACTGGAGGCCACGTCATTCATCTTTTCATTGCCAGGACCAAGCAGAGTACAATAGATATCCAACAAATGTTAACTGAAATGAATAATATAAAATATAAAGAGGATTTGGAAATGTGTGGCATTGTTGATCTCTACACTAAATTATTCCCAGTTTTTTCTGTTTTATGGTATTAAAAATTGTTTATATTGCTTTTTTTTCCTTCCCAATTATATCATGTTACTCTATCAGACTAGCCCTCTCTAGAAAGTCATCTCTGTCCTTTTTACCAGTTCAATGATTTCCAAACTGTTTTGGATCACATATCTTGATTGGTAGAAAATGTCTGAACTCATACCTCTACTAAATGAGGGAGAGTAAATTTGTGTATAAATTTACATACTTTTAAAAAATAAATTGCATACTTGTATCATTGTACTGATATTTTTATGTACACTCATAACCATAAGCAAAAAAATAAAAAGGAAAAAGAAAGGTTAGACAGCAATGAAATACGTATTTTAAAACCAATGCAATATTTTATTGTATTTATTAATAATATTTTTTTTTTGTTCCTAGTTTGTGAGATCATCTTATTTTAATCTTGGCATGACATTTAATAACATACTGTTTTGAGGGCTTGGGTTCTCAGTTCAGTTGATTCAACACCCAAGTTTAACAGCTATAATGAAAAAGAAACTTAAAAAATGTATTGATACAAATGGGCTAAGTATATCATTGTCCTTAGTTATTAAAATACAATACTCGTTTTTCATCCCCAGACACCAATTATGCCAAATTTTTTGTTGAAATTCAGGCAGGTAATTCAGTTCACCTTGATGTAGCCATTGGGTTAAAAAAAAAAAAAGTTAAAAGGATTCAAACTTTTCATTTGGAAGATGTTAAATAGGGTAGAAAATTCTATTTGAAGAGTTTTAAAGTTTGCAACTAAAAGCATTCTTATAGATGACACACTTCTGTCATTTTTCAGCCATAATATCAGATATTAATGGAAATATTTCCAATCATCTGTTTTCCAAATAGTCTTCATAATATTAATTTTCCCTGAATTGTTTACTTTCTCATTCACTATAAAAATGTTCCCTTGACTTAATGTTACACAAAGGATAAGTGTGCTTGTTTTTAAAATATGCTAAGTAGCACTCAGTTGATAGCTTTTTGTCATCAGTGAAAAGGGCAACACATTTTCAGCACTTACCTTTTTTGTAAATGAAATGCTTAATTTGTCTTTAATTTCAGCAGCTCCTTCAAGCACTTTTCAGTGAAATAATATGAACTTCTCTGTGGTAGCAAATATTATCACTGTTAGTCCTCCCTCATTACAAAGTCATAAATATTTGATGGCATTTTAAAGAATTATGTTCTTATGAAATTAAAAACATCAGTGTCGCACTCCTGGCTTCAATTTCTTTGACGAAAAACTTGCCTATCAGTGATGCAGTCAAGAAATTTTACATAGGAAAACATTACACTAGAATCTTTCAAAAATGTTTTCACTCCAGGCAAAGCAGTATAACACATA